TTTGGAAAAGATAACTGCTATGTATAATTTTTAAAATGCTCCTTAAGTGCATATACAATCTACAATAGTTGGTCTCTATTTGCCTAGAGCAACACAGGAAGAATAAACCAGAAACAGGAGAATATACAGTGTGGGGTTATATGGCTTTTTGAACCAAGGCCTCCTTTGTCATGACTCACTCAAACTCATTGCTGTAAAGTTAGAACAGACTCATAGCTGCCTCTCCAGCATGTTTCCTGATGCTATACATCAGGAACATACTAACAAGGTTCTCTATATTCAATTTGTCCTTGGTTATTGAAATAAATCTACCTTAAGACTGTCAAATCTGTACAATAATGATGATTTTAATGGGATGTTTTGAGATAAGACTAGAGTTCAAAAATAAGTTAGACTACAGATTAGTGTAGCCACTGAATGGCCTAATTAATGAAAGTACTCTTTCTCAATGTAGAACACAATTTCAAATACACAAGACTCTCTTGACTTGTGTTGTCAACCTAAAGGCACTCGATTCAAATCTACCAGCTGCTATGTGAGAGAAAGATGGGCAATCTCCTCCCATGCAATATACTGCTTCTAAAAACCCCTGGAAAATCAGCTATGAGTTGGTTATGACTTGATCATACACAAAACAATATCATCTTTAAAAGCATTATTTTAGTTTAAGTAGTAAAAACATCTGCCTTGAGCATTATGCTCTGTACAAAAATACCTATAGGGGATCATGTCAATACCATCTTGAAATACAAATAGGAATCTTGGTGGGGCGCTGAGTTTATGTTAATTGAGGAGGAATAGTTCAGAAAAGGAGGATAAGAATAGCTGTATAGCTCAACAATGTTGCTAAATTGTACATGAAGAAACCATTAAATTGATGTATGCTGTGTATATTCTCAAAACTGAAAAAAACCCCAAACCATTGTAATCAATTTTTTTCTGACCACAGTCATCCTCCACTAATTTCGGAAACTATAAATCTTTATGAGAGGAGAATGCCCATCTTTCTGCAGAATGGCTAGAGGATTCGAACGGGTGACTTTTTGGTTAGCAGCTTGGTAGATTAGGAACTTTGCTGTCAGGGCTCTTTATATGTTTTTAATAAGAAAATAAATTTAGAAAGAAAAAAAAATTTTTCACAAATATATCATCAAAGCTCAAGTTACCATAAGACTTTTTTAAAAAAGTAAAACTGTTTTATAATAATTTTTGTTGGGTGACTAAATGAATAGTTTGTTAAAAGTACATTTAGATTACAAACTGAGAATGTTTTTGTTTTAATAAAGAGTTTTTGTATTCTTAGTGCACGGGCACACTGTGCAATGTCTTTATCTGACCAATTAGCTAGACAAAAGTCTTAGACTCAGCCACACTTTCAAGGGACAGTGTAAATGTACCTAATGGTAGACAGGCAAGAATACACTACATGTGAATGAGACAATGAGTTCAACAAGAAACCCTACGAATTAGTGCAAACTTTCAGAGAGTTGAACTCCAAGACAGGATTCAAAATGAGGTTGAAAGGAGTAGGATCCTCAAAGCTTAATAACAACACAAGGAGAAATACGTGACCCACAATCATTAGTTAAGAATTCATAACATGTAATAAATTTCTAGCTAGTGTTTATAATTATTTCAGAAGCTTATTCTAGAGCAGTATTTTGCAAAGTATATCTTGTGAAATGTTAATAGATGTCCTTGCAAGAAGTGACATAGTTGGTCAAATATCTAGAGTCAGCAGATTGATCAAGGAGGCTTTTTCTGTAAGACTGTAAGTTATGCTGTGATTCTTAAAGTGAAGAGGGAAAGCTACTTTCCCCAATTCTCACACTTTTTCATTGTAGAACAGTGATTGGGATTAAGATTTGATGAAACATATTTTGAGACTTGTTGTACAGGATTCCATTTTAATGTTGGTTAATGAAATAATTTAAATTTTAAGACAGTAAGAAAATGAATAGTTCTAGTCTAGTGCTCACACACACTACAAAAACAGACTCTGCACTGATTAGGGAGCTCTGATGGCCTAGCAGGTACTGTATTGCGCTGCCAGTCCAAAGGTTGTTAGGTGCCACTGAGTTGAGTATGACTCATAGCGATTCTATGAACAATAGATTTGAACCCTGTCCTATCCTGTGCCATCATTAAACATCCTGACACATTAGAGTCCACTGTGGCAGATACCATGTCAATCCATCTGTTCAAGGGTCTTCCTCGCTTTTGCTGACCCTCCTCCTTTCCGAGCATAATGTTCATTTCCAAAGAATAGCCCCTCCTAGCAACATGCCCAAAGTATGTGAGGTGAAGCCTCATCATCCTTGCCTCCAAAGAACACTCCAGCTGCACCCTATCCAAGGCATATCTGTTTGTTCTTTTGGCAGTCCACGGGATGTTTAGTGTTCTTCTTCAACACCACAGATCAAAGGCATCAATTCTTCTGTCATCCCTATTCACTGTCCATCTCTCACATGCAAAGCAAGTTATTGGAAAGACCATGGCCTGAATCAGACATACTTTAGTCCTCAAACTGACATCATTACTCCTGAATAATTTGGAGAGGTCCCGAACTGCAGACTTACCCAGTGCAACAGATCTCCTGACTTCCTGACTGGTTGAATTTTGTATCTGAAATAATTTATTCATTGTAAATACCATTTTTAAGCTCATGTTTTAATATTAATTCTTTTTTTCACAATATTCTTCATTCATATTGCGTTTCATACAAACTTTTTCAGGATTAAAAGAGAAACAAACAACAATTTTACAAATGATTTCACCTGAACAGCTGCACAGGAATCAGACTGACTACATCTGTGGAAGAAATTAACAGAGAAGCTCAATATTAGCAGTGAAATATGGCCAAGGAGGGACTGTGGGTAAGACCATCAATTACTCATCTGCAGGTTCAAACTGAGGCCAAAGAAAATTAAAATAAGGGTACATGAACCAAGATATGATCTTGAATCTACTCTGTATCTGTATGTAATCTGTATTTCATCTTAGGAATGGGTCTGAGGCATTGAGCCCCAATGACTGAAGACCAGATGAGTTATGGGATGATACTAAGGATACCATAGATGAAGAAGGCATACAGTCATTACAAAGACAGAGGCAAAAAAAAAAAATTGAAATGGATGTCAGAAAACATTCTACAAATTGCACTAGAGCATCGAGAAGTCAAAACAAAGCGAAAATACACCAAAGTAAAAGAGCTGAACAGAAAATTACCAAGGGCAGCTCTACAGGACAAAGAAAAGTATTATATGGAATGTACAGACAACTGAAACTGAAACAGTAAAAAGGAAAGAACTCACTCTGCATTTCTCAAGCTGAGAGAAATGAAAAAGAAATTAAAACCTTGAGTCACAATATTGAAAGATGCTTTGGGCAATATTGAATGATTCAGAAAGCATCAAGTGAAAATGGAGGGAATACACAGAATTACTGTACCAAAAAGAATTGATTGATAATAAAAAAATTCAGGAAGTATCTATGAGCAGGAGTCAATGGTAATGAAGGATGAAGTAGAAGCCGCATTGAAGGCATTGGCAAAAAATAAGGCCTCAGGAATCGATGTGATACCAATTGACTTGTTCCAGTTATCAGACGCATCCTTGGATGCGCTCACCAGTCTATGCCAGGAAATGTGGAAGACAGCTGTCTGGCCAATGGATTAGAAGAGGTCTGTATCTGTTCCCATTCCCAAGAAAGGTGATCCAGCAGAATGTGGAAACTATCAAACAATATCACTGCCATCACATTCAAGCAAAATACTGCTGAAAATAATTCCAAAATGGCTAGAACGGTACATAGATAGAAGTTCAACCAGGATTTAGAAGAGGCCATGGCACCAAGAATATCATTGCTAATGTCAGATGGATCCTGGCTGAAAGAAAGACTACCAGAAGAATGCCTATTTGTGCTTTATTGACCACACAAAGACATCTGAGTGTGTGGATCATAACAAGTTGTGGCAGACATTGAGAAGAATGGGAATCCCAGAGCACCTGATTGTGCTCACGAGGAACCTAAGCCTGGATCAGGAGTCTATTGCGCAAACAGAGCATAGGATCACTGGATGGTTTGGAATTGGGAAGAGAGTGTGCCAAGGTTGCATTCTATCTCCATACTTATTCAATCTGTATGCTGAGAAAATTATCCGAGAAGCTTGACTCTATGAAGGAAAATGTGGCATCACCATTTAAGGGAGACTCATCAATAATCTGCATTATGTAGATGATACAACCTAGCTTGTTGAAAGTGAGGAGGACTTGAAGCACTTGGTGTGGAAGATCAAGGAATGCAGCCTTCAGTATGGACTGAATCTCAATTTCAAGAAAACAAAGATTCTTACCACTAGAACAGTAGGAAATGTCATGATGGATGGAGAAGAGATTGGTGCCAACAACTTCATCTTACTTGAATCCATAAGCAGCAATCCTTGGTACCAGCAGTCAGGAATAATTCAAAGGTAGGTGGTTAGAATGCACTAGTGGCTCTTTGAGCGAAGGATGCGAAATTTCCTCCTGTTCAATTTATCACCTCTGAAAACTCTCAAGTGTCAGCTATGAGTTGGTTCCAACTTGGAAGGCATTGTGTGAGTCAGTGTGTTAGATACTAGCTAAACACTTTGCATACCTTGATCTTATTAAATTCTTTTCAAAACATCCTTGGGCTGGTTATAATCTGTTTTATACATTAAGATATAAATGACTTGGTTAATAGTAGAGCTAAAATGTGAAGCTATCTCTGTCTAATCCCAAAGCCCTACTCTTAATCATTAAAAACTTCAGTCTTTAATCCGTTTGTTTCCAGAATAAATGACCAATGTATTTATTTCTTTGGTAAACATGTGACAAATGCAATTAATTAAGATTTCTTTATGAAATTTCCTGTGGACTCTATGAACACGGTAGCTTATGATGTTAGATCCAGAGTACTGGGTTTTCCATAAAGGTCACTCTAACGTTTACTAGTGAACAGTTTCTTTTGGAACATACCTTTGATTTACTGTGCCGTATGAGTGCAGAGAGCAGTCTGTTTGACTCCCCCATCACACCAGCATGGTCTTTGGCTTCACACCATTCCACTAAACGCTCTACTAACTTAATATTCTTTCCCAGTTGTTCAGCAGCTTCTGCTATAAGAAAGAAGGTAAGCCACAATGGAATGAGTCACTGACAGTAAAGCAACAGAAATAACTAGTAAAGATGGAAAAGTGTGGAAGAAAATGACATGCCTAAAAACCATGACAAAACAATTTCACTAAAGTAAGAACTATAAATATTCCTGATCTAGTGAATTATTTGTCTTTTTCTATGAACTTGTTAAATTGTCACAGGAATATAAACAAGAACAACTTTATAATCTGTGGAAGAATGTAACCAAAAGTTGTTAGAAACTTTCTCAACAAAATGGAAGAGTTTAGAAATAATAAACATAATTCATTCCAAGGAGTAGTTTTCACGGCTTTCTCTGCAAAAAAAACAAAACGTTTTTCCTGTGTGCAAAATTAATTTTAACAAATTTCATTGTCACGCTATTGAGTCACGGAATGCCAACTATCAAGACAAACAAACAAACATACATCAGGAATAAATAATAAAACCCTCAACCCAAACTACTTACTCTTCTGACTTATTATGATACCATGTGTTTCAGAGAGAATTTCACTGCACTGGATTTTCAATGGGTATAATCTTGTGAAGGGAGCTCTGGTGGCTTAGTGATATGAAACTGTGTTGCCAATACAAAGGTATATATTCACCAGCTGTTCCCTAGGAGAAAATGGACAACCTCCTCCCATGCAATTTATTGCCTCTGAAAACCCACTGGAGGGGCAGTTATGGGTTAATTCTGACTTCGGTATTCAAAAACAAGAAGATCTTTTGAAAGTTGATTACCAGATCTTCCTGCCAAGGCACCTCAGGGTGAATCAAATCAGCTTTTGATTAGTAGCTAAGTGTTTGATCATTTGCAATATCTAGGGGACCTCTGGTGGCCTAATGGTAAGAAGCTGCACTGCAATTTCTAAGGGAAATGGTTGAAATCTACCCTCTGCTCCACAGGACTTTCCTTCCTGTGCAATTCACTACCACTAAAAATAGACTGGAGAGTTATCTAGAAGTTGTTTCTGACTCCACAGCACACACCAAACAGAACAGGCACCATAAGGAAGGTGCTTTTGTGTCTAGCTCAATTAAAAGGCCTCTCGACTCTGGTAATTCAAATTCACCAGGGGCTCCAAGTAAGAAACATGGGTAATTTCTTTCCATTAAGATTTATTGCTTAGAAAACTTAATGGAGACGTGCTATGAATTAGAACAAACTGTTGGGCTACTATAGTGTAAGCTTAAAGTTGGCTTTTTTTTTAAAGCCATTACCTTAGGCCCCTCTGCTCTCAAGCTACCTTAACTCCAGGCACATAGTCTCGTAAATCATTAATAGCTGTGGGACTAGGATAAGAGAGAGCGGGCGAGTGAGCTTCCCACACTGAGGGGTAAGACTTATGGGAGACTGGAGCAAAACCCTGGGAACGGGTGGCCCCGGAGATGGTGTAGAGAGACTGTGGCATTGGTGTGGAGCAACTATGGCAAGGTATAACCAGAAGAACCATGAGATAAAGGCAACATTTAATGGTTTTGCTGTGGTTTCCGGAAAATAAATGAGAATCTGACTTGTAACTGCATCCGAGGATGACTGAGGAAACTAGAGGCTTCTTGAATTTATGTTGCTAAACTGAAAATAGCAGAGCCTGCAGTACTGAAGAATTCTGCCTTGGGCTGGGTTAAAACTTGGATTTACATTGCGTGATATTCTTTGCCTCCCGCACTCTCTAACTTATTTCTCTAATAAATGGCATTCTCAGTATCACAACTGTGAATAAAGTCTGTGAGCCAACAATGAATACATGAACCCCTTGCTGTTAGGGTGGCTGTAGAGGCCCCCTGGGGCTGGGCTACAGTTTCTTGATCTGCTTTCCGCTCTAGAGTGGTGAAGGGCTGTGCAATTTACACTCCCTCTGCCCCTTTCAGAGAGATGCTCATGGCCCTGTGTCCCCAAGTCCCATTTTCAGCTCTCAAGATCTTTGCATCTGAGAGACGACCAGTGAACCAAGATAACAGAAGAAGAAAGAATTACTATTGATGCCTTTGAGTTGAGGTGTTGGAAAAGAGTACTAAATATTGCACTGATTACTAAAAAGAACAAAGAGATAAGCCCTGAAGAGGTACAGCCACAGTGTTCCTTGGAGAAGGATGGCAAAGCTTTGTTTCTTACACTGTGGACACATTGCTAGAAAGAGGCTATTCTTTAGAAAGGGATCTCGGGCTTGAAAAGGTGGAGGGACGGCAAAAAAGAGGAAGACCATCAATGAGATGGATTGACACAGTGACTGCAGCAACAGTCTCAAGTGTATCAAAAATGGTGAGGACGGCAAAGGATAAGAAATGATTCAGATGTACTGTTCGTAGGGTTGCCAAGAGTTGTACTTGACTTGACAGCACCTAACAACAACATAAACCAAAAAAATCTCCAATTGTTGAAGCAAATCCAACTTATAGTAACCTTTCCTTTGGCTTCTGAGATTGTTTCTATTTCTCCTATGGAACAACCAGTGAATCTGAACACCGACCTTATGATTAGTAGCCCGACATTAATGCACTATGCCACCAAGGCTGATTTATTCCATAAATCAATTTAGACCACTGATTTATACAAAAGTCAATTACCACAAGCATGAGAACTAATGAAGGAGATTCCAAAACCAATATATTTCCCTCTTTCATTTGCTATTTTCTGTCATGATAATATAATTATGAGAGCTAAAAGCAAGTCCTTTTTTAGAGATACATATAGACTACCAGAATCCAATTTGAAAAAATTTTTCTTTTACCTTGTGCATCTATTAACATTCTTAATGTTCCCAGAAGTTTGAACTGAACTGGAGGCATTTCCGATTTTAAGAATTTCAAAACTGCTTCTGTAACCCCAGCTGATAACATTTTTGCTTTATTTACAACTAAAAAGAGAAAGAGAAATTGTAGTTAAAATGGTATTATCATTATTAATGGTAAACACTGAATTCAATACACATTTTTTTTCCAAATATACATTTTTAGTTGTTTATTATCTGTAGGGTCCTATGACACTGTTGATTTAGAAAGTATTGTTAATTTCCTATACTGTCTTTTTTATGAATGAGACTTTTGGAAATTAGTGTGGTTTATAGGAAAATGATATATAAAATTATACCATTTTAAAATGTATTATCAAAACATCTGCTTAAATAATTTGCAAAAGATGTCTGGAAATACTGGATTCTAATTTATAAAACTAATTTCAGCTTTACTAAATCTTCTGTACCTCTATCACTGACTCAATTGTTTACTATATTAGTAAATAATGTTAATTTTCTATATGACTAAATTGTATCATTGCTGATAGCAGAAGGATCTTGGATGCAAGCAGAGAATACCAGAAAAATGTGTATAGGTACTTTATTGATTAAGCAAAGGCATTCAACTTTGTGTATGTTAAAGTTATGAATAACACTTCACAGAATAGGAAATTAAGACCATATACAGTCAATCTGTTGCTAGGCAAATAATCTGAGTTGTACTAATAAAGAGTAAATAAACAATGTAGCACTAGGATTGTATGAAGAGTCATAGTAACCTATGATATGCAGATGATACAACTATGATTGCTGAAATTAAGGAGACTCGATGCACTTAACGAAAAAAAAAATCAAAGCCTACGTACTGCTTTAAGTATGGGTTACAAATCCTCACAATAAGACAGATAAGCAACAATTGGATAAATGGAGAAAAGTCTGTAGTTGTCAGATTCATTTTACTTGGATCTATAAAACCTATGGAAGCGTAGTAAAAGACGGAAATTAAATGACATATTGCATTGGACAAATTCATTGCAAAGACCTCTTCAGAGTGCTCAAAAGGAAAAGATATCACTTTGAGAACTAAGGTGAATCTGACTAAAGCCATGTAATTTTCAATTCATGACAGAGCTGAAGTAATAGAAAGACCAGGGAAGAATTGATGCATTTAAATTGAGATATTGGGAAAGAATACTATGCATAGCATGGACTGCTAGAAGAACAAATTAATCAGTCTCAGTAGAAGTAAAACCATATTCTTAGAAGGCAAGATGGTAAGACTCGTTTTCACATATTTTGAACATATTGTTAAGAAGGGATGGGTCCCCGAGAAAGATACTATGCTTAGCAGAGGGTCAAAATAAAGGAGAAAGACTCTCAATTGAGGATGGATTGACACAGTATTTGTTACAAAAGGTTCAAATAGCAGGAATTGTGAGGATGGAGCAAAACCAGGTCATTCTATTGTATTCTATTGCGTATAGGGTTGTTATACATTGGAATCAATGACTCCTAACAACAATAACATAGTAACCAAACTGCATTCTTTAGTACCGAATTTAATATCATACGGTTATTAGAATAAAAAGAAATTTATATTTAGAAAGTAGACTAAAGAACAGTTTTAATTATCTTCTGCATTATGTCCCATGATATTATGTCCCTGGCTCAAAGACTTGATTAAAAAAAAAAAAAGACAGACAATTAAAAAAACTCACTTTTAAAAAAGTGATATGACTTCTTCTAAAAAGAACAGGGGTGTGTACAATGGCATTCTTTAAGGGACAGTGCTAATTTATGCTACTAACTTAATATAACTGAAGATGCTTTAAAAAGCTTATTTTTACATGATAAAAAAATAAAGACTTCATAATACAGAGTATTTGCATGATCTAAACAAAACTAAGATAGGCTTATCCAGTCTCAGAAAACATATTTAGCACATTATCTCTTATTATTCTAAGAAAAATAGAAACAACATGAAGACTTTTTTTTTCTTTTCTTGGTAGCATCAGGTCAATTTATTATTGCACACAGCAAATATTTTCCAAAAAAGAATTTTCTGCGTAGTTGCCTTCCACCACCCACTTTCAGGCTTACCTGGAATGGCCAGGTTTCTGAGAGCACTTAGCGCTGCATGTTGTACTGTCACGTTTCCATCTTCTACATGTCTGTCCAATAGATCCATAAGTTTTTCTACAATTCCACTGTCTACCATATGGATACAATTTCCATCTGAATGAAACAAAAGTACTGTTTTTTAAAACGTCTCTTTTAAAATGTCTACAAATATTTTATAATACTGACTCCTGCATATTATCTTAGAAGATTACAGTAGAACAGTAGAAGATGAAGCTCTTAGGGAGTTACCTCCACTGCTTTCTTCATCAATTTAATAGATTTTTGTGTTTACTGAGAAGTCTAATTGTAAAAATTACTAAAACAGATAAAACATTAAAAATTATAAATCTCAGCTTAAAGCCTGGTTAGCTGTCAAAGCTTGATTAAGTAGAAAATACAAAGTTTAAAATGTGTACTGTTAATTTTTACCTATAACGAAGCCTGCCCGTGTTCTGCCAATGTTAATAAAGAAATTACTAACTTGTCAAAAGTTTGCCTGATGTCAGTTCACTTTTACAAAATATCTATATTAAACAGCCCAAATGTCCATCAATAAGTGACTAACATGAGAAACTGTGGTACATGCACATGATGGAACACTGTGTAACATTCAAGAAGCAATGATTATCAAAAATATATATATAACATCAGAGAGGCAAGAGAATATTATGCTGAGTGAACTAGTTCAGGCACACAAGAGAAAATACTGCATAAGACCATTATTGTAAAAACAGAAGGATAACCAGTAAGATGTGTATGGATATCCAAAGAGGGCGGGGGGGAGAAGTCAGAGGGTCAGGAGGAGGAAATCATGAGGCTGCAGAGTTTGATGGGAGGAGGCAAATAAAAAAGAAAACCACAGATGTACATGAATGAGTGAAACACAAGAGAAAATCTATATTAGTAACTTGTAAAAATAAGTGAAAAAGGGAAAAAAAAAACCCACAACAAAAAGACCCACAGAGGATTTTTGCTTTGGCAAAAGCAAGTTGAGAGTTTAGCCATTAAAGAGGTAGCTAGGTTCATCCATGGCCCAGCTCTTTTCTTGGGAACTATACTCACTATCAAACCATAACAGGTTTGAAATATGTCTGTAAATACTACATGTTAGAATTATTTTAGGTTTCATGTGTTATTTGGTATAACTTGAAAAATTATTTTTGGGTCTATGAACACTAAAAAGTTCTCCCATATAAATTAATGGCAATAGCTTCTTTGCTTTATACTATTTCAGCTTAGGAAAGGTTTCATAGGAACACTGTACTTTTAGAGAGCAGTGGAAATCTGCACTTCAGCTATTATGGTTATTTCTTTTTCAATGTAAAAATTTATAAAATACCTACAAAGCAGTTCAAATATTATAAAGAACTGCTATGTATTCTGCATTTACCTAAACAATCGTCCTTATAACTAGTTTTTACCTTGATTACTTTTGATTTACATCTGAAATCAAGATAGTCTCCTAAAGAGTGAAAATGGAATACATATTCTATTATAATCCACTACACTGTTTTTATTGGAATAGTCAAATTAAAAACAAAAATGATCTATATTTCCTAGACAAAATGTAATAAAGAGGTTTTTAACTAAATGCCAGGTTGGTAGATGTTATAAACATAAAAAAGGTCTTTTGTTTCTGAAATAATATTATGTTAAACCAGAGGATTTACTACGCTTAAATCTTCTACCTATAAAAGTGTACACCGATGTACAACGTCTCTAAAATGCTCAGATTTTTAAGCCTAAAATGAAAGGACTAAATAAGAGTGCGGCCTCCTAGATCAGATAGCTATTAGAATAATACTCAAGCTTACCACACCTAAGAATGCCAAGTACCCAGAAGAAGTGCCTCACAATTGTCTTCTCTATCATTTTTAAACTATTAGAGTTTAAATAGCATATTATATGTAATTTACTAGGAAAGTAATTATCATTATTACAGGCCTTGGAAAAATAAAAACTAAGTACACAATTCCACACTATAAACATTTCTGAATTGTTTTTGTTTTAGTCCAAGTGATTTCAAGGCAAAAAACAGCCCGGCAATGTATTTCGTTAAAAATGATGAACTACTTATTTCATGCTTCATGTCCTAAAATACACACTTTCCCAAAGGCAGTAGTTGGTGGGATGATTTTAGGAAGGGGGAAAAAAATCCCCACAATATAAATGAATGAAATACAATGTAAATGAAGGACTGTATGGAACACAACGTACATGCATGAAACACAAGGTATATGAATGATAAAAAATATCAATAAAAATACAAATTTTTTAAAAATGTTGATAATACACTTACCATTTCTGGCAAAATTTGCAATTGCCAGTGCTCCAGCTAGCTGGAGCTGATGATTATTGGAGGGAATCCACGAAAGCACCCTTTGAAACACACTGCCTTTTCCTCCTTCAAATAATTTCTGCATTGATTCATCTAGGGGTGAAGGAAACATGGAGTTAAAAGGAAAAACATACCTAGAAAAAAGAAATCACTATTTCTTGTGAATGTTCAACAGGGAAACTATACACCTCCCTATATAATTTCATAATGTTAAAATGATTCTTTTTATAAAAATTTTTAATAAAGACCAAACAGAATATAGAATTCTTCTAGTCCAAGAAACACTTGATACTTCAACAAGCGGTTATTTATATTCTACCTGAATAGAAAATTAGCCTCCTCTCTTACATATCACTCTCTCAGCCTCTCCATGTTAATCAGCAGAAAGATTTCCTTCTATTATGTAAAATTGGTGCCTTGCTGTAATTTCCATTAGTTCTAGGATGATCCTTGGTGTCACAGCTATCTATTCCACACAACAGCTCTTCAAATACTGAGACACTGAGGATTCTTTTTGCAGGTTTATTATCACTACATTTCTCTGCATGATGTACTTACAGTTTCAAAACAATTGCATTAGCAAGATTAAATGGGTATTTTAGAAAATATCTAGTGTAGTGCCTATAGAAGATTTAATATATATTTTTAAACAAAATCCAACAAGCATATTGTTTGCTAGTAAGGCTACAACTCACCTCCAAGGAGGAGTAAAACCATTAGATCAGAAGCTGTTTTGAGCTCAGCAACGTCGTCCTCTTTGTCGCTATCCACCTTCTGCTGAACAATCTCTAGTAGAAACTCTACCAGGCCTGCTTCAACCAACTGTAGCTTAATAGCATCTAAAGAACAATGTCAACAAAATAACCAAAATTTGAGAGGAAACAAAGGTCTGGTATAAGCAATTCAGTAGAATTAAGAATAAACATATCATGATTTAAACAACATTTCTTGAGAAGAAATATCTGACAGTACACCTTAAATGCACAGAAAGCTTTATTTAACAATCCTGTTTGAAATTTTGCCACCATTTGCAATGAAGAAGAATGTGGCAGCCTGCTGGAAGATGACTTATCATCAACCTGAATTATGCAGAGGAGACAACCTTGCTTGCAGAAAATGTGGAAAACTTGAAATACTGCAGTACACGAAAGACTAAGCCATCAAAATGATTATATCTCAACAAAAGAAAATAAAAGCAGGATCATGAAAAATTGAGAAAGACTGAAGTTGTCAACAGCTTCATTTTATGTAGATCCACAATTAACCATAGTGGTAGCATTCAAGAATCAAAAGATTTATTACATTAGGATATTCGGTTGTCAAGGACCTCTCTAAAGTGTTAAAGAACGAGTAAGGACATCTATATTTAAAGACTAAGCCCCAAAGCATTACTCTTATGTTGTCTTCTGAGAGTTTTCTAGTTTTAGCTCTTATATTTGATGTCCTTGATAGATTCTGGGTTGATTTTTATCTATAGTGTAAGGCATGGCTCCAGCTTTATTTTTGTGTATATAGAAATCTCGTTGTCTTAGTACCATATTCAAAATGGTAGTATTTCTTGGACTTTTCCCTCTAAAAAGCATCCTGGTTGCCCTCTCTCCAAACAGACTGGTTTGATCTTTTGGCAGTTCATGATACATTCAGGACTCTTTGCAAACATGACAATTCAAATGCACTGATTTCTCTGTCTTCCTTATTCGTTGTTCAACTTTCAGATGCATATTAAGCAGTTTAAAATACCATGGCTTGGATCAGGCAATCATAGTTGTATCATCTGCATATCATAGGTTGCTATGACTCTTCATACAATCCTAGTGCTACATTGTTTATTTACTCTTTATTAGTACAACTCAGACTATTTGCCTAGCAACAGATTGACTGTATATGGTCTCAATTTCCTATTCTGTGAAGTGTTATTCATAACTTTAACATACACAAAGTTGAATGCCTTTGCTTAATCAATAAAGTACCTATACACATTTTTCTGGTATTCTCTGCTTGCATCCAAAATCCATCTGATATCAGCAATGATACATTTTAGTCATATAGAAAATTAAATTTGATTTAAAGTATCTAATTTGTTGGTATATTCCTTATGATCATTTTTATTTCTGTAGAAATGAAGTCTGAGTTTAATTATTTACAGCTTTTCTTTCTTTGGCCAGCCTAGCTAAATGTCTGTCTGCCAGCTCTGATCTTTGTTAGTTTCCTCATTCTGGTATAGTTTTGGAGTTGTTTTCCTCTTCTTCTTCTTGTTCCTTGAAGCTGTAGACTGTTATTGATTTTAGATCATTATTATTTTTTAGATGTTTTGCACTATAAATTTACCTCTGAGCACTGCCTTCACTTTATCTCACAAGTTTTGATAAGCTGTACTTCTTTCATTTCCCTTTTCCTCTACACTAATAAATATTTATATTTCTTCCTTGACAAACTGTTTAATTTTAACTCCATCCAGTCAATTACGACTTCCAAAGCTATAAAAATGGGAGATTGTCTATCATTCTTTTGTAAAGTGACTAGTAGATCCAAACCACTGGCATTTGGGTTATCAGTCTAATACGTTATGCATCATCCCAAAAAAGCTCCTTGGCTGCTTGCTGTCATTAAGTGCTGTGGAGGACAACTTACAGCGACCCTATGAACAAAAGATCTGAACTCTGCTCTATCCTGCACCACTGTCACACTTCCTGACACACAAAGAGCCCACTGCAGCAGTCACTGCGTTAATCTACCTAGTTGCGGGTCTTCCGCTCCTTCGCCGATCCTCCACCCTTCCCAGGATCATGTCCTTCTCCAAGGAATAGCCCCTCTTAGCAACATTCCCAAAGTATATGAGGCGAAGCCTCATCATTCTTGCTTCCAAAGAGCACTCCAGCTGCACCTTCTCAAGACATAATCTTTGGCTGCTTAATACTATGCTATTTAATCTAGCTATGGAGGCATAGTGCATTGTATGTCGACCTTTTAAAAAATTAATCTTCACATAATAATTGAGATAATGCATTTCATCCATATACAGTTTTATACAATTACTATTGATCAATGCCTTTTAACACCCTGTCTCATCAAATCCCCATTGTACCTTACCTTTTCACTATTCCCTCTCCACTAATCTCTGATGTTCTAGTGTGTTCCCCCCATTCCCTACTTTCCCTTCTTCCACCCTTTTCTCCCTGTGCTCTTCCCCTTGTGAATAATTCCTGTTCAAATATATACCTATCCTGTTCCTATTTACTAATTGCAATACCCATATTTTTCTTCTGTCAATTCTTCCCAGGTATCCTCCCTTGTTCTGATCTTTGTGTGTTGACTTTAAAATTTAATCCTTCAGTAACAGACAAAACTCCATCCCATTCCATTCATGTTGTTTTTATCAACTGTTAAACTTTTATACCCCAGGTATTCTACACATAAATTTACACTTTAGCATAAATAAAACTTATTTTAAGCACTTGTTAGAAACATAAAAATTACATAATAAAGCATGGTAACAATTACATAAAGCATGACAATAACATATAACAAGTACAACCAATTGCCAAAACATAAAAATATGACCTAATACTTTCCCATTCCATTACCTTTAAAGGAGATGTTTGTTTCTGCATATCACTTTGACTTACATACTTTTAGTGCCTTTTCCTTTTCATCTGAACTCCATCTAGTGTATCAACTTTTAGGATAAGCTTTTCTTTGTAGTTTTCAAGGTTGCTAAGTAGCAACAGTCATTTAATATTACTGGTGATCCTTTGCGTGTGACTATTTGCTTCTCTTTAGCTGCTTTTATGATACCCTTTTTATCTTTTCATTTTGAGAGTTTGGTTATAATGTACCTTGCTGTGGAACTCTCTTGGAAATTGCTGAGCTTCTTGGATTTCTTGATTCATGCTATTTGTCTTATTTGAAAAGCTTTCTACTCTTTCTATTATTATTAATATCTATAATATTGTTATTGTTAAGTGCCGTCGAGTTGTAGATGACTCATAGTGACCCTACGAACGAAAGAGCTGAACACTTGTATACTTTCATTGTTTGTCCAAGTCACAGGGTTTCTACAGGCAAGCCACTCCTGTTTCCAGGCTTGTTTTAACTGGGGAGCTCCACCAAACACTGTCCACCAAGGGTAACCATTATTTCAATATTATTTCTTCTGGAAAGCTTAATATTTTTTCTGTCCTCCTTTCGTATTATTATTATTAATATCTATAATATTATTTCTTTTAGAAAGCTTAATATTTCTGTTCTCCTTTTCTTTATTGTCTCCTTTGGGGAGTTCTCACACCTAGTGTATTTGTTCACATGAACATCATACCCTTCCACCAGGCTGTGCTTACAATAAGAAGAAATTCTTGAGGCTTCTCTGTTGTTTCTCAGTCTCTCAATATCGTGTCCTCTAGATCACTTAACATACTTCTGCTAACTTAATTATTTTTTAAAATAAAATTTTTTAATTGTCATTTTAACATAAGTTTACAGAAAAGTTAGATTACCATTCATTCATTGTTGCATTTTACCCCATCACCCTCCCTTCACCCTCCCCAAGTTGACTGTTTTTCTTCATGACTTTATTCACAAAATTCTAATACAAATTTGAACAAATTCTTTCAATTTCCCTCACCCCGCCACCCATCAAATTGTACAATCCAATGATTAATCCCTTCTTCCCCCTGTATATATATCCACATCCCTCTGCTTCCAGCCTCTCCCATTCCTCCTGGATCCTTATACTCCTTCTACTATAACGGTCTTATACAATATTTATCCTTGTGGGACTGAGTTCACTCAGTATAATGCTCTCCAGTCCCTCCCAAGTTAGGTAATAATTTACAAAGTTATTGCTCCTGTGTGCTGCATAATATTCCATTGTGTAAATGTATCATAATTTCTCAATTCATTTGTTTGTGGTTGTACATCTGGGCTGTTTCTATGTTCTTACGCTGGTGACTAATGCTGCTGTGAACACTGGTATTCATAACTTATTTTTAAATATTTTTAAATGAGGCAATGAAGTTTATTTCCTTTTTTAAAAAATTAGTTATTGAATCTTTCAGTTCTAGTATTTGGGCTATTTTAAAAAATATTACAATTTTGTTATTTCCTTATTATTCCTTTGTTCATTCATTTTTTTCCAATTTCTTTTAGGTTTTTACCTGTGTTTTCTTTTAAAACTTAGATCACACTTTATTATAATCTGTCTTCAATATAGCATATATTTATCCTTAAATATGATTTCTCTCTCTTCATCTTGTTTACTTGGTATCATTACCATTACTTTTATGCCTCATTGCTATTTGTTGAATTTGTTTGAATTTACAAGGTGTTAGCTTTCTCAATTCCCAAACACACGGTGATTTCAATAGCACAAATTTTTGCAAGACATTATTAGTACAGTACTACCTCCAGATTTTGACTACCGACCACTCTTAGCACTAGCACCCTCCGCACCCCATCCTGTGTATCTCTAGCTCAAATCAGTCCAATGTTTTTATTTTTCAAAAGTTCCCAGGCAGATTAAAAACCATACTAATCAATCTATTCCTAGGGAGATGTAGCCTTTAGTTTTTGGAGTGCTGCTCTTTCATTTTTATGTGAAGGTTCCTTTAGCAAATCTCAGAAAGACTGGAACATATACATTGAATAGATTATCCTCAGAAAGGTATAGTCCCTGCTCCTTTGTTACTGCTCCTTACTTACAATATAAGGGCTGCGAGTCCTGCCAGAACACAGTTTCAGTCTTAGACCACTTTAAGACTGGTCAGAACATAATTTATTTATTTTAAAATAAGAGACTGAAATCCTTCCCCTGCACAGTATATAACTTATTTTATCTAAGTTA